CTTCTGGGCATTATGGGTCGAAAATTTCAGTAACACCAACCTCTGTTTATGTCGTGAGATGTCAGGAACCCAATAGTCTTACAAAATACACCCTAAATGACATAATGCTTTAATTCAAATCAGTTAATAGCTTTTTCTAAATGCTTTCTCTGTTCTTCTCTTTCTAGTTTTTTCTCATTGGCAAATACAGTAATCTTTGTCACATTCCACAAACACGCGGTTCTATAACATTTCTCAAAGCATGAGATGGTGAAAACTACAGTATATGTTTGATAAACTAGTATATAACATAAAATTAACCTAGCATAAGTTTGCAATAGGTTGGCATCCTGAGGTCACAATAAAATAAAACAAACTTAAAGAGTTTCAGGTTCTATATTGTGGCATATCTATAGCTTTACATTAGCTTTATATATCATGCAGGTGCGAAGCAACATTCACCGTCTCCTCTAGACTCTATAAATATATAAACTATGAATAAGTGCTTTTTCTATTCATGTATGCATTCAGAAGCCATATTGTAACTGCTGAAGTGGACGTTTATTAAGGTCTGTTGTACGAGTACTCACACACTCTGCTATGGCCAACCATCTTCCTGTTTATAGCCATGAGCTGCCAGAATATCTGTCTGTCTCTCCATCCAGACTCTGCTTCAGACAAACAAAGACTCAATCAGTAATGCCAAAGAGATCATTAAAAAAATTATTATTAGCGATTAGAGTTTATAAATATTTATTACCTTTTCAAAATCTGTGACTGTCCCGGATTCATAAAAATCCATAAAAGTCTAGAGTTTAGAACATCACATCTAGGATCCTGGCTTCCTTTTGTGCTGACGTTTGCATATTTATAAAGCAATTTTCAGTATATCTGTCTAATCAGATCAGAGTTTCATGCAGGTTATTATAGTTACCCAAAAAACTAAAACCAATTAAAAAAAAGAAAGTTACTAATATATATATATATATAATATATAATAACATTAACTACAATAAAAACATGTTTTTTTTTTGTTTCAGCTAGTTGCCAAGGCAACATTTTTTAACTTGATTTACTAAAACTGAAATTAAAATGAATAAAATCTATACAGAGATACTCTATAAAATACAACTACTAAAAAAAACAAAAAAACTTTAGCTTAAAATGAAAAGGAAAATATAAAAATGAAAACTGATTTAAAACATTAATAAAAAATTACCCAGGTAAAAAAGAAATACACTGAAGTTGAACTAATATTATTGTACAACTTGTATAAGTTGCACATATTATATTTTAATTCTACTATACTAAGTGCATATTAAGTGTGTTATTTTGGAGCAACTTTAAATACTGTATGTTAAGTGTTCTTTCAGATATACTTAAGATCAATTTTAAGATAATTGTAATATATATTAATATATTTAGCCGTTAAAATGCATTACAATGCAATTTATTTGCACCAAATAAATAAATAATTGAATGAATGAATAAAGCACAGAAGTGCATATAGTGCATTTTTACAAACCCAAGTTAAGCCTGCAAATATCTGAACCAAACAAAGAAACAGAAAATTTTAAATGTAACCATCTTAAGTGGAGGGTCACTTTTCTTTGAGTACAACTTTTCGGCATTTGAGGGTTTGCAATTCAGACACCGTGGTATTTCATCACAGGGTCTGTGAAAGGACAAATAATTAATCAGTGGTTTTGAGTGGTGTTTTTGAATATCATATGTATTAATAATCGCAATAAGTGTGTTTGGTAAGGTAAGGTGATGCCTGTTTGGATGCCATTTGGTGGCATAGAAACCATTATACTTGAATTGTTTAATACTTTTTCATGGTTTTCTGCAATATTTGAGGCATATTGAAACAGCTGTACCTAAATACTTTTCATGCTTTTATGTTTCAGTTCCTTTCAGTTACATTTACATTTTAGGCTATGTAGTTAAAATTTTTATTGATTTTTTTATTTTTATATTTTTATTGTATTAACAACTCAGCTGTATGTGGACAAAATGCATATTGCGATTTTTTTTTTTGTTGCAAATAAAACTCCCATAGTCCATAACTACTGTAGTTTGTATTCTAATTTGCATACATATGCATTAGAATTTATCTGACTGTTCTCAGTTTTCTGTTCTCAATTTACATTTTAAAGCTTTGACTATATCCTCATCAAGCTTGACATGAGCGTCCATTTTTATCATCTTGTTTGTCGTCACAATACAGCACTCTGTGTTACACTGAACATAAGGTTAGAAGAGGCCAAACAACACCACAGAGTTCAATCCCAAAGTCACTGATATTGTTATTCAAAGCAATAAAGCAACCTATGTGTATTACAGGCTACATTATTTTAACCTAGGGTATTTCCCATTAATCTGTCTATGGCTCTATGGTATCCTTCACCTCTGTTGCAGATATTTGAGGAAACAAGGTCATACAAAATGGCATGTGCCATGTAGCAGGACAACTAGGCCAAGGTCCTGCAGCTTTCCCCAAAAACAAAAACAATTAAAAAGAAAACAGATATTTCCATGAATGACTCAAAGGAAGCACAGAAATTAACCACCTGGAATGGACACTTTGCTAATATTTTCTTTCAAGACAACACAGCGGCTGATGCAATCACCCTCCATTAGGTCCGATTTTAAAATCTCTGCAACAGAGGTGCTTAATCCAAAGTTAGCATCACACTCAAGAGCCCCAATAGTCACTTCATTAAAAAATATATCAGCCAGAATGAAACCTTTGAGATTCATTGATATGAGATTAAAATATACTACTCGGTCCGTGTTCTTTTGTGTCCATTCATTTTTCTTTTTTTAACCTAGAAATGATATGGAAAATGTGGTTTCTTTTATGGTTCTAACACTTATTAATAGAATAATCAGACAAAACCTAATTTGTAAGTATTCTTTTGTAAGTACAAACATTGAAACAACATTGATTTTAGGCTTATTACTAAGGCATAGTTGACAAAACTATATTTCTAATACATTATAAGTTGATACAATGTAAGAATACACTTGCATATTTTATAGCTGTAATGTACAATGTGTGAGTGAATTAATATACTTTACTGTTAAATACTGGTATTTTTTTAAAGATATCTTTGAAAAGCATGCTGAAGCACATCAGTTCATTACATAAATATTTAAAATATATTGTAGTAGGTCTAAATATGGTAATAAATAAGATACATATACTTTAAACCCACTAAAAAGCTGAATCATTTTATTATGTTCTTACAGAAAGTAAACATAAAATATAAGAGTAAAATAAGTATGTTTTCTGTAAAAACACTAAAATGTCACACAAAGTATGCTTGTGTTTTAGCATATTTCTTAAAAGCTTAACTAAGCATATATTTATAACCAAAGTACTCCTAGTATACTTTTAAAAAATATATTGCAATGCATGTACAATTGTACTATAAACATACTACCTGAATTTCAAGCACATTTTTAATACATTTAAGAGTAATTCTTTTTTACCTGGTTATCAGTGACACACAAAAAAAACTGCTCTCAGTTGGTGAGACGGTCATATTGGTTTTGGACAATATTAGACTAAATATTTATGATTCTGAGCACATTCAGCCTCAGAAAGGATTCAACCAATGTCTGATAACTGAGATCACAGTCTGCTGTGTCTAGACTCCAGTGCAACTCTCACTACACTTGTGCACATTCACACCCCATCAAAACCATGTGTCCCGAAGCTGCTCTCACTCTTCCCAAACCACACGGCCCTCAGACGGCTGATCGTCCTCTTTCCTGCCCCGAGGTTTCATATTTGCACTTTTGCAGAGGACGCTGAGTCAACGTTGCGTAAGTGACAATAAGTGCTTTTGTCGATTCATTTTAAGGACTGTTATGTAACAATAAGCTCTCCCTCTCTCCCTTTGCATCCCCCATTTCCTATCAAGTTATAAAAGTTGTTTTCACTGAGCGAGAGACAGAGGAATTTGCTTGTTTTAACTCTGGCAGCCAAACACAGAAACCCTGTCATTCCCTACAGATCATTCTCACTGACCACAGATAAACATTTAAGCAGTGCTTTTCACTCAAAAACAAACTTTTAACGCCATACCAGCAGCTATAGGTTTTTAAAGGACATGTCGAAGATTCATAGGAGGAATGAAAACAAACAGGCGATATGTAGGCCAAGTCAACATTCTTTCTGACTTCCCACACATCAGACAATTATATCGCTCAGCATTATAGGGTGTGGATGGCATTGCCAGATTATACAAATCAAAGCCATCACATGGTGCGTTTGAAACGTGTCCTACAGGCGATTTCGATTCAGTGGGTCAGCCCGCTTTTCGCCCACTGTTCTTTCTGCCATGTCACCACAAACCCTGAACCCCAAGCGTTTAAATTTGGTGTTCCATGAGTGGTCGGTGTCTGGAAATTGTTCACATCCTGTTTACGTCGGAGATTTTCTAACCTCGAACCGCATCTGGCTGGTGAGTCCACTAGTCAAATCTGCATTTTCAGCGAGTGCAGACCACACAGTTATCATTTGAAGAAAAAAAGGAAACCTTGAGAGTAGGCCACTTGCTGGGCTGTATAATTAATAAATATAAGCCACAGCCAATAATCTACTTCGAGAAACTTCTAGAAATGTGACAAAAATGAATAAAAAGGCCACAAAATATTATTATATAATCAAAATGTATTGCATTTAGCAAATAAACACATATAAACATCACCAAAAACTATTTACATTTGCAAAAATATAAACTGATCTACAGTAAACTTCGTACAAAATCTAAAAAGGATGCACTGCTGGTGTGTATTTTGTGTGTCACTGTTGCGATACTGAAAATGCGAGGAAATATTAGACAAAAAAGCTTATTTATTGGACTATTACCAATGCAGGAGACGGTTCTCGCTGCTGTATTGAAGATGCTTGATGTATGATTATACGCTATTTCTCATCCCACAAGTTTGTAGGTATAGTTCACCCAAAAATAAAATTTCATTCCTTTCTTCTGTAGACAATAAAAGAAGATATTTTGAAAAATATCTCAGTGTCATATTGGAAGTCAATGGGGTCCAATATTTGGTTCGCAACATTCTTCCGTACGTTTTCTTTGATGTTTGCCAGAAGAAAGAAATGCATACAAATTTGGAATGACATGAGGGTGAGTAAATGATGACAATTTTCATTTTTGGGAGGAGTATCCCTTTAAGATGCCTTTCATTGAGATGTTAGTTTGCTCTCCTCTAATGCACCTGTGTCCTGTCCTCCGTCTGAGATCTTTATGCCTTCCCTCTCCACTGCTTCAACGGCACTTGCAGGACCGGACCACCATGTTGGAGAGCTGTTCCACACGGGGGGTTCGGCCTAGGAAATAAACGATGGTGAGGGGCTCCAGGTCCTGAGGAACACAACACGGAGATGCTGATGCTTCTGGATTCATTTTATTATACAGCGGGAGAATCTAAAAGGAAGACAGACAGAGAAACACTGTAAGCAGACATGGAAAGCAACATCTAAATGCAACATTTTAGAGCGAACTCTGTCCAACACTGCACAAGTTTGATTAGAAAATGTAGTTTTGCTATATTTCTCAAATTATACACATGTATCAGCTATAATGCACTTATCAAAATAACTAAAGCATTCAAGTGTCAAAAGTTTCTTTTTTAATGACAAGAGGAGTATTCAAAATTCAGAATTGAACATACAATCTGCAAAAGAGTAAAAAAAGGGGATTTAGGATTAGTCAAAAATGATGTTTTTAGAATCAATAATAAATCATACATGTGAAAATGGGTTGAGAATTGAACAAATATTTGTTTAGAGGAAGAAAGGAATCATGTCTTTGTTGCAGTTTGTTGACAGCAAAAATGCTACAAAATGCATATCAGATTTTGTGAGAAAGTGTGATGTGCTAGAGCAAAACAGATACTACTTTTGTAATCAGCAGCCCAAAATTAGTAAGAAACAAGCACTGGATTTCATGCAGCAAATATGATGCAGGGTGGTGTGATCTTTGAGCTGGTAGTCCTGATCCTTTAACATCCAACCCTTAACTGTCCACTTTTTTTGTGTGAAACATGCTCAGCCTGATCAATATTTACCATGTTGTAGTGGTTGTCTGCACTCCAGAGGTAAGGACAGTTCCCTGCACAGAAATTTGCTTTGTACCCTTTTGGTTCGTGGATCCACTTCCAGTTCAAGTCCCGACGAAAATCAATGTACAGAGACCTCAGACAGCAGCCCTGATCAGTCCTGGAGGAGGGAAAATGATTTGTTGAAAATGATTTTATTTTATTTCAGTTTTATTTCAATTAACAATTAGTTTTAGTTAACAATAACAACTCTGGGCAGGATATTCTTACAAAATAATAATAAATAATTCACCCTTTGTGCTCCATTGAAGAAATCATGTCAGTTTGGAACAACACTGTACATTTTGTGAGTAAATGAATCCTTTTTGGGTGGACTAACCCTTAAATAACTGTTGTCCGGTTTTGACTCCATGCAGCAACAAATTCTGATTTTAACTGGGGACTTCTGAGCTTCTAGCCAAAGGTTTGATATATATGACAGACACTATCGGATCAGAACAAAACTTGAACTGACTTGAGCTGAATAATGACACTTAGAGCTGAGAATTGAGCTTGTTTCATAATTGATGAACTTTACAGTTATTGAACTGAACTGAACCAACACTGAACTGGCTTGAGACGAATAATGACACTATTGTCTTTTTAGAGCTGCTTTACAGCAGAATTTGGATTTGTCCCATGTTTGATGAAGTTTGCATCATTGATTCGGTTATTTTCCTGCTTATTACTGTGATGCTGCTTTGAAACAATCTGTATTGTATAAAGTGCTATATAAATAAAGGTGACTTGACAAAATAGCGTAATACTGAAATCCTTCAAAGCCATTTATACTGGCTTTTTGCATCTGTTTTTATACTAGCATTCATTTTGAGTCTCCGCTTAGCTTTTCTAACACATGTTGCCATGGATCATACAGTTAAGCAATCATTACACAAAAATATCTGATTTTCAGTAAAAAAAAAAATCAAGCATTCCAGAGAAAGCAATAATAAATAATATTTTCAAACACACACACACACACTCCAGCACTCTTTCTCTCTGTACCGTGAGCATATGGATGTGACTGCTGCTGATCTCTTCTTGCGGTTTTTCTTGGTGGGACTCTCCAGACGGTCGGTGGGCAGCAGGGTTAGTATCAAATGGGGAGTTTTTGTGCTGAATTCAATCTGTCCTTTAGTCATGCCTGGTCTTCTGTTCTGCTTTATAAGGTCATCATCAATGCCTGGGAAGGAATCAATCAAAAATATCAATAACAACAAATGATGCAATGCATTTCCTATGACACTGAAGTTGGCCAAAATGTCACTGTTTTCAAAGAATTAAAGTCAACTCTATGTTTGTAGAGTTCAGTGTGCACTTTTCTTCTAAAGTTTGAAAGTTTCTTTAAGAAATATTTTGCTTGAAAATGTGCTTGTGCTGTCTTTAAAATAAATACCACATTGTTTGATATTTTATTATCTAATGCAATGATATTCATACTTTTAAAAGTGTAACTTAAGCATCTAAATACTTTTTGGGGGTTCACGGTACAAGTAAAATAATCAAACTTTTATTGTAGCATTGTGTAACTCAAAATATAAGACAAATAAGTCAAATAAAAATGTATGGTACTATGGAATAACATATGGTAAATTTTAATGAGAAAATATAAAGAAAAGCAAAGGCTATAAAGACCCAACTCAGTCGAGTTGTCAGAATACTTAATTATAACCAGTTATAATTAATCACAAATATTTTCACGTTCAGCTAATTTGCTACAAATTAATAAAAAAAGGAGTCCAGTATTGATACAAATCTTGTAATTCTGACTTTTTCCTTGAAATCAGGAGTACTTTTCTCAGAGTTTATATTGAGAGTTGATACCTCGCAATTCTGAGAAGAAAATCATAAGGGTGAGATTAAAAAGTCACACTTTCTTATTTTTTTATTATTCAGTGGCAGAAATGGCCTTCCATAGTGCACTTACAGCTCTGGAAAAAATGAAGAGACCACTTGAAAACTCTCAGTTTCTCTGGATTTATGATTTTTAGTTGCATGTTGTGTGTGCATTTTATATATATATTTTTTTAATTATGTCATTATTATTATTA